GGAAATAGTTGACAAAAAGTCACAGAAAAATAACTAAAAATAGTGACACATCACATTATAACTTTTTTTAATTTTATGAGAGGATATCGAACCTGGAACCTTCTGGTCGAAAATCTAACCTACCACTGAGCCAGAACGAAGTCTACAATGTACAACTAAATATAAATTTATTTATACCAAAAATAATTTTATATACAACTAGTTATAATTTTACATATAACTAGACATAGTTCAAATTTTAATTAATTGAATAGATATTAAAATATTATCGAAAAGACTATTTCAAAGTACCAGATTTTTGCATATACTGAAAATATTACATCAGTAAAAGAAAAGCACTCAGAAAACAGTATCCAGAAACTAATTGATATTGGAAATAGTAGGTAAGGAGGCGTCCAATAATCACGAGAGCCAATTTTAATAATAAGAATTTTTAACCCCCTCCTTTCCCTTGGTGATATTTAAAATTAACCCTCAACCTCCCCAAACAACGTTACGTGTATTTTTATTACCTAGAATAGAACATGATTTTTTTTTATTTTTTTTTTAAAATTTTGGTTTTTTTGTAAATACACATATCTTCCCCTCCTCCATGTTATACTTCGTGATTTTTTGTCAAACATTCTCCCCCTTTTGAAAGCTCACGTGATCAATGAACGCCCGCTAAAGTAAAGTTTTAAAAGGAACAAAGGGTTAAAATATGGTTTTGGATCCAATATGAAACTACTTAAATTCTAAACTGAAATAAACTAAGGTTAAATTCTTTGTTTAATTAGATATTCAATGATTTTTATATAATTTATGAAGAGTAATCAGAACTACTCTTATGTTCTATGAGCTGTTCTGATGTAATTTCTTGATCTAGTTATATAAAAACGAAACCCAGTGGTTCCTTCTCTTTTCAATAAGATTATTATAAAATATTTTTAATGTATGTATATGCTTTGCAGTAAAGCTTCGTAAGGTTATTTTCACCTAAAATAATCAGTACTACATTTTTAAGCAAAACTTAGTACCAAGCTGTCCAAGGAAATAGTACCAAAAACTTTTACTTTTGCAAGTTTGAAGCTCTTACCATCAAACCACTGCAAGCTCATTTATTGATTCCAAAAAAAATCATGAATGGATGATCAATGTAGATTTACAGTAATCGCACTTTAATATTGCATAAAAAATTAAGACTATAACGTATATGAGTTAGTAAATCATGACAAGATGAAGAATTGTTCAAATTTTGGGAATGCAGGTCCAGCGGTTATGGACTCTCAATAAAAATAAGTTAAAAAAACATCTTTACACATATTACATATTAGCATTAAAACTGAAACTTAACATTTACATTTTAGTACCAAAACTGGAAAAAATCTGTTTCCACAAGAGGTAAGTTCATGCAATAAGTCCATTTCTCGCAATTGCCTTGTTATCTTCAGCAAATATCAACCTGGGACTTCATGTATTGATCCAAATCAGAAATGTCATGGTGTCCATTGCATTGATTTTAAGCAGAGACATTGTTCATATTATGGATATAGGGAATAGAAATTTATATTTGGTTTAATTAGAAGTCAATTAATGTTCAACATGAAGGAAATATGAAATATTCAAAATTTATTTTCTCTAGCTTAATTATTTAATTAATATGTTGAAATAAAATTCACGGTATATAGATCTATATATGGAAACTAACCAAATATCCATTGAATTAAGATATATTCTAGTGCAGAGGCATGAATTTTAGGCCATTTTAAATCATAGTAAAAAAGCACTCAATTTTTACACTACCATTTTTTTCATAATTTCTTTACCAAAGTTACAAGAGTACAGAAAAAATAAAACAAAAAAAGTTATTAAAATTAAAAATTAGCAGTGGTTGAAGTGGGGGGTCTCAAAAAGTTAACACCTGTATCATACCCACCACTAAAGCCAAAAGAAGAAAGAAACAAGATTATTAATCTAGAATGATGTCGCTATGGTACAAGTTAAAAAAAAAATATTTTTAAATAAATTTTAGACAAAATAGTGACTGCTTGAAAAAAGAGACCAATTTCCTACCACTCCTTGAATTTCTCCTTTTTTTTTAAATAGTAAAAAATTTAAATTTAGAGATAAGGCTAGCATATGCAGAGAGATGACTATAAATAAGATTCTCTGAAAAGTTCAAGTAAATCTGTCCACTAGAACTCGAGGGCATCGTATTGAAAAAGACAGTTTTGAAAATAGGCTTTTAAAGTTTCGCAAAAGGAAGAAAACTGAAGAGCATTATCATGGTTAAATGGCTGTATCTCCAAAAATAATTTTAAAAATCCTGCCATATTCTATTTAAGAAGTTTAAGCTTTGAAAATATGGAAAAAAAACGATCTTTTGGAATTTCTACACTAGGATACCACCTTAAGTATTCAAACTTACACTGAAGACAATAGAAAATAACTAAAATTATGTTTTCTATACTGCAAGAAGATTGAAAATATCTCCATGATTTGAAATTATGACATATAAGATCAGTTAACGTTAAAACAAATATTACAAGAATATTTTCAATTATTGAATTTAATTTGACATATTTATTATTATCATGGCAATTGTTGAAATGAGGAATAATAATATCAAACTGTTATTGAAGACAGCATGTTCCAAGACGGCATTAATACATTCATTATAAAAATAAATTAAAAAGGATTATATCATTGCATTATTCAGTTATTCTGAACCAAAAATCAACATAATAAAGAAAGTATTGGCTAATTAGTCAAGAGAATTCGCTGATAATAGTCAATTTAATTAAACTATAATAAAAGTTACCCATAAAAATGCAATTTTAATTTTCTAGTAGAATAGAGATATATTCATCTTCATTTCACAAATTATTTTGGGAATTTGTCTTCAGGTATTGATTTTTGCAGTCAAAGAAAGACCCTTGTGGTCTTGAATACAACGTTTACCTGGGCCAATAGTTTTAGAAACATTATATAGTATGAAGAATCGAAAATTGTAATTCAACTAAAGTCAAATCTGATCGAAATTTAGGGAAATAATGTCCATCATTATAGATATGTCCCCTGAATAGAGGTGCAGAAAATAATTTCAGAAATACACTTCAATAGGAATTGACTTGTTAGTCAAATCATCTGAATAAGAATCAGCTAATAATAGGCAATTAATTGAATTATAATAAAAAAATAGTCATAAACAATAAAACTTTAATTTTCAAGCAAAATAGAGATATATACATATTCATTTCACAAATTAATTTGACAATTTACCCTCAGCTGGTATTGATTTTTGCAGTTACCCAGTCAATGAAAACTTATGGTATTGAGTACAACTTTTACCTGGCCAATAGTTCTAGAAATATTATGTGTGCTAATCTTCTGATCAGCAAAATGATGTCCATCATCATCGATCTGTATTCTGAATAGAGATCTTTAGAATAAAATACGTTTCAGAATATATTTGCTCACTTCAGTAAAAATTGACTAGTTAGCATCAGCCAATAATAGTCAAATTTATTAAGCTATATAATAAAAAGTTGCTCATAACAATAAAACTTTAATTTTCAAGCTGAATAGAAATATATACATATTCATTTCACAAATTAATTTGGCAATTCATCCTCAGGTATTGATTTATGCAGTTGCCCAGTCAATGAAAACTTGTGGTACTGAATTCAACTTTTATCTGGGACAATAGTTTCAGAAACATTATATAGTATGAAGAATCAAAAATTGTAATTCAATGAATAGTCAAATCTGATCGAAATTAAGGAAAGTGATGCCCATCATCATCGATCTGTCATCTGAATAGAGATTTCTATTCAGATGCAGGATATAGATGCAGAAATACATTTCAATAAGAATTGGCTAGTTAGTCAAAAGCTATAATAAAAAATTCATCATAAACAATAAAACTTTAATTTTCAAGCAGAATAGAGATATATACATTTTCATTTCACAAATTAATTTGACAATTTATCCGTAGGTATTGATTTTTGCAGTTGTTGCCCAGTCAATGAAAACCTTGTGGTCTTGAATGCAACGTTTACCTGAGCTAATAGTTTTAGAAAGATTGTGTATATAAAGTATCAAAAAAGATAGCTCAATGTTTAGTAGAATCTAATCGAAATTTCGTAAAATGATGTCCATCAGCTTCGATCTGTCATCTGATATGTGACCTGTCAAACGATCTGTCAAAATGGCATCCACCATCTTGTTTCTCCTTTATATGTACTTCAGCGTTTAGCGCGTGAAACTGCTTCTAATAATAGATTTTTACATCGCCTGCGCATATTTTTTCTTCCAACAGACTCACAATGCAATCGGTGCATTGAACCTATATATTAAATACGCACTTTGAATCCCCACATTAACAATCGCCCTTAAATAATCTGTCAAAAAGTAAGACTTCATGTTTGACTTTTATGACTGATAAATTTACTAATAAAAAATGTATTCATGTTATCGAGATGTCGTGTCTTCTACGTACAGCTTGGTGCATTAAACAGGCGCTATAAGTTTCAAAGAGGTGCCCGGGTCAAAATCTGAGGTTAATGACGTTTGTCAATCACGTAATTTAAATATGTTCCTACAAAAAACTTGTAGTGTCGCCTCGCGACGTATTACATCAATGTCAGCGCAGCACATGTTGTAATTATCTGACAGTAGCGGAAATTATGACAGATGGTTAATGATTCGATATTTTGGTAAATTTCTAAATGATTTTGTATTATACGTATGTCATAAAATTTCAAACAGAGTTTGCGAGTCGATAAAATGTCGGCCAACTGTCGGGATCAATGAAAACGAGGGCGCGCACGATGCGGATCGGGAATGGGATATGCCGTGAATATGGTATAAAATAAATTATAGATTTTTTACATAGAAACGATTTAAACAGCGATAACGATACGCGATTGTGCTTACACGTAACTAGTTACGTTGATTAAATATATGGTTAAGAGTGTTGTAACAATGGCTGCCGTCTCTAGTGACATGGAGGTACTTACTGCTGATCTTCATGCCGCCCAGGGGCGGGTTTGGGGGCTGCTTGTTGCCTTCGGCGAAGGACGTCGTCCTCGGGCGGCCGCTCATGGCTTTTCACTCTACTATAATACAATCCCGACACAACACATGCACTTCATATACAATCTATGACATTTCTTATCCACCCTCTTTGCTTCGCACGGACTTCCGCACTTCACACACACTAATTTGGATCTTTTTCGTCTGGCTGGCTTTCACATATAAAACTGTGCACGCAAAACACCTACGTCTAAATTATATAACTTTCGTTCGCGATTAAATGAGCATTTTGCACAGAGTTTTTTCGGTGTTTTACATCATTAATTACACGACGACGTACATCACGAAATAACACTCTGAAGCTTCAGACATTGACCCGTTCGGCAATGTTCGGCTTCTATCAGCTACGTTCCGATCGACGAGCTCCGACGAACTAAGACGCAATGAAATTGGGGAGCCATCTTGTAACGAAGTGCCATACTAACCATAATCTTAGCAAAAGTAATACCATAAACAAATTATTTATTATTTATCGCTCATATATCAGTTTAAAATATATTCATTACAAAATAATGCATAAAAGAGCCCATTATTAAATTTAAAACATGTAAATCATTCAGGAAATATTTAACGAACAACGATCTTGAACAGTGAATGACCACCGAAATAAAAAACAATTATACGGAGGCATATTATGAAAATATTATATGCATTAAGAATCGCTTTAATTTGTATACAGCACCTTTATTTGGCTGTCAATATTTCAGTATTTTCACATTGAAACAGTATCGTCATCTACCCAACAGCCGTCACATTACTTAATCATTCTGAATTTTAGATAACATTATAAAAAGGTGACATTTATTTATGACTATGAAGTTCTGAGTTTTCGTTTCAGAAGTCAAATTAATTATTATTTATTATTTTTAAGAGTGGCTATTTATACTTGCCACTTGTCAGTGATAACTTGATTGTGGCTCTCCTGACTAGTAGTATATTAAAACAGGTGCGCCAACATTAACTGAGTCTGTTTGTAAGTTCATGGCAGTTGATTGGATTGCCATTTTTATTTGATTTGAAATGAATACATACGTTTTTGAATATTATATAAATTTCAAGGTGTATGAATAAATAAATAAATATTATAATATAATATAATAATATGTGTTCTCTTAATTCCTCGTTATTAATATATCAGTGTATTATTCTTTTACACAAATTTAGTGTTCAATAAATTTGACATCATTAATTTTCTGTTGTTTTTCCTGGTTTGGTATGTATAATTTTCTTCTTTTTATATATTTATATTTATTATCAACTTTTGTATTTATGTCATATGTTTTTTAGATTACTAAATGATGACACACGTCAAGTGTCAAAACGTTTTTGGAATAAATAATTTGTTTATTTAATTTTTTTTTAAACCGACGATTGGGCTGCAATATATATATATATATATATATATATATATATATATATATATATGTATGATATATATATATATTATATATATATTTTTCAAGACTATATTAACGATATGGAATTGATACTTTCGAGACAGAATTGTCTTTTTATATAAATATAAACTTTTGATGAAACAATTTTGACAAAGGCCAATTTTGAAGAAGGGCAAAAACTTTGTTTAAACATCCGTGGTTAGATATCTTTGAATATTTGATAAAAATAAGACGGCAAAAACTTTGTTTAAAATTTTTTTCATTTAGTCAAGGTCTGGGACACCCTGTATATATATAGTATAATCATTCATATTTACTAATAAAAAAAATATTTAAGTAATTTAATTACGTTTATCTATATTGTGCAGCAGTGTGGAATCATTACAATAAAAGATCTTTATTAAGGAATCGACTATTCCTCATCTGTTGGTGATGAAAATTTATTTTTTTACCAAAAAAAATACAAGTTTACAAAAAAGGTTCTTGAACTAAAAATTAACTTCATAAAACAATTGTTTATATTTATATAATTAAAGTATTAAAAATGTTATATGTGTGCAATTTAAAATACATATGTGTCTTTAAGTACAAAATGAAGGCAATTCATATTTGTTTCCTGAAACAAACATAAATATCGTTAATATGAAGAAAACATATTTTGAGGATTTAAATATATATTTATATATTATCATAACTTCAACATTACATTTTATAATTCACACATACAAATGAATTGAATACTTGACTATATCTCTAAAATGAAGCAACGTAAACATACAGTACTAACATCAAGGCACCTATAAGAGCTCCGAATGTCGCCCATTGTTTTTTTTTTTAAATAAAAAACAAAATTAAAAATATTTTCATATTCATATAAAATGATCTTAAATTATAGTAAACATAATAAATCACAATAAATAAGATCTACACAATAATTCTGCCTAAGTTGAATTGACGTGATTCATACATACAATTTGAAAAAAACTTTTTGTGGAATAAAATAAAACGTACACTCAATGTGACAATATAAATATACAATATTTAGTAAATTGTGAGATTAAGAATAAACTACCATTCTAATATTAAAATATATGGAAATAAAGATTCAATATAAACTAAACAAATTAGATTCTAATGTGTTTTTAACAAATTCGTTTTAAAACATTAATGTTTATATAAATAAAAATATCTCAAAGAATTTTTTGGGAATGTAAAATAATAAATTAAAAAATGGATATGATGTCTTTGAATGAATTTGCTGCACGTTATCTGATACTGGATTTGTAATATTAAGATTTACTTCTTAAATCATATTGAAAAAGTGTTGATCTTGAGATAATTGAAAATGTTGCAAAATTCAAGTTATATGTTCCATATTTTAATAAAATATTGATTTTATAACAACTAATAAGTTTATAAATCTTAGGAAGAAAAAAATATAGAAGAAAAAAATTGAATTGTAAGAAAATTCGAAATTTTAGAACCAAAATCTAAACTATATTAAATAACAATTGATTTACGGTTCATATTTATCATATCTATTGATTTGCGGTGATCATATTTATAAATACATAAAGATATTTAAGAAATTTTGAATAAATAAACTATGCATCTATTACTATGACTACAATTACATTTCACCAGCAACGTTCGGTACAGCAATTACATTCTTTTCAATTACAAAAATGAGCATATGCAATTAATATAATTCATATTACAAAAATGATATAATATTTATTTTCAAAAAAAGTTCAACTTGATATGAAAAATGTCTCAAACAAAATTAATTCACTACAGACAAAATTTCTGATTTGATGGCAGTTTTTCAATGTTCATGTTTACAATCATCATACTCTAATACTTTTTTTTCTGCAAATATGTAAATGTCCACATTAATTATGATTACTGATTTATAATATAAATTTTCTGAATATTTCTGCTAAAATTCTTAAGACCCATAAATAAATAATTATAAATTGCATTATTTATTTATGCTTTAAAATAATTGCTCTTTACGTACGATGTTCAAAGTGCTAAAAGATTTTATTGAAATGTTAAGGTGAAAAATAATCCAGGTAGTTATATCTAGATATTTCTTCATTCAATTAATTTGTATTATCATTTCGATTACTATATTTCTTTCATCTTAAGAAGGAATTGATTAAATAAAGAATTTTAACAAATGTATCAGTATATTGCTTTTTAAACTCATTATTTCATTACAATAAATAAAATTGTTCAACATTTTTAAAAAATTAATTTGAATGAGTTTTCAGTCACTTCCTCAATCCAAAAAAACAACAATACAAATTATTTCGGAGGAACTTTTATTAATGAAAACACGATTCCAACCCAAAATATGACCTTTTAAGTGCATCAACATACAAAATGCGTTGACAAATCTTAAAAACTCTCTTTAGTTTCAGAAACAAATATATAAAATAAATCTGTATAAAATGAAGATAATAGTGCAATAATTTATTATTCTTCACCTTCATTCAATTTTGTTTGTGTGAGACAATGCAAGTTTTTTAAGAATTATTCGTCATCAAGTCATTTTGTACGTCGTTGTGGTTAAAAGCTTCAAGTATGGCGTCAAAATTGTATTAGATTTAATCAAGTTTTCTCCAAAATACCCAAGACTTTAGACTCATCTTCTAAAAAATTTTACTTTAAATATTTTCATAAGTGATATGATGTTATATAAGAATGCAGACCTTGTATCTCTATTTCGTGAACAAGGAAATTTAAAGTGTTTCTCTATCAATGTGAAAGATAATTACCAATAATAATAATCTTTCAATATGTACATATTTGCAGAAATATCAGGATTGATTATGATTATTTATTAAATATTTTTTTCTCTAATTATCGAAAAACCTTGGTAACAATTCATCACAACAAATAATAGGGCACAAACAAGCACACACCAAAAAATGTACAAATTTATGATCCTCTTCATTCTCAACTCACAAATATAATACATCTAAAACAAAACATTTTATACAAATAAAATAATATACTTTATATGCAAATGAGACAATAATATGCTTATTTATAATATAACGACAACATACAGATTTACATGTATATCTTTGATTTTTTTCATTTAAAATTACATTTATAATTAACTCTACAAGGGTTTTGGGGGTGTGACGCGAATCCATCGACATTGTCATCTCATAGTTTTACTTTATTGTTATAAAAATATCGTTTTATGCGAACAGTAGTATTTCTTTTCTTTATGTTAATCTAATAATTAAGTTTTATTCTCTATATTGTATTTATATATAAATATTGTTGTAGCATAAGTAAATTTATACAGCAAAACTCTCTTTGGGAAAAAGGGAATGCCAGGTGAATGCTCTCTTGATTTCTTCCTCTTATGAAAAAAATACAATAATTTAATAAAAATCAATGATGGAAAAAATATTAATGCAAGTTTACTTGTACAAAACTGCAATGGTAATGGTTTAAATAAACAAAAATGATAAAAGTTGACCATAATAACCAAGAGTTATTATAACCAGTTTGACCAAAGCTCTTGGTTGTACATTGAAACTCAATATGTTCTAACACTGAAAAGTTTTTTTTTTTCAAATTCTTTCTCATGATATCAAATTATAAAATGTTTTTTTCAATTATCGACAATTAGTTTATGGCATAAGAGAAAAAAATGAAGATTTGCTAGTGTCGTAAAGTTTACATAATTTAGAAGACATGTACTTACAGTCACTATAAAATACTATTCCTATCGACTATGATAAATCTACAGAAGTTTGTTAAAGATTGGTCATCGATTCATGGATATTGTAAGATATATATGGATATATATATATATATTAGGGTGGTCCTTAAAATGGTCATTTTCGAATTTCCTTGCTCCCAGGGGCTCAAATGGTTCCAAATTGATAAAAAACAATTCTCTGAAAGTTTTAGCTCTTAATATTAACGTTTAGA